TGGATGGATGGATCCAGGATGGATGGATCTAGGATGGAAGGATGAATATAGGATTTATGGATACAGATGGATGGATGGATAGATAAATTTTTTACAGCTTGGATGTATGGATATAGGATGAACAAACGGAGGGATGGATGAATAGATGAATAAAGGATGGATGGATGAATGCAGGATGAGTGAATAGATGGATAGAAAGACTATAGATGGATATGGGATTGTTGGATATATAGATACGGAAGGAATAAATGTGTTCTTTTCTGACTCTGTCAGCAAAATGTTATTCTTTGTCTACATGTCTTTTATGTCCTCTAGAGTTTCCATTTCACCTAATCTTTTTCAAGCCCGATGATATGGTCGTCATGTGGTAGTGCCAAGAAAAGTTCGCCTGCATTTGACGAGATATCGACATGGACGTTTCAAGAACGACTGCTAAGCCTTTCAAATATAAGCTCTTCTTGATAATTTGCCCTCCTGAAAGTGGTGTATCCATTCTCCACTGGCTCATCATTAGAAGTTACATATTTGTTTAAATCTTGCTTGGGTGGTCTGTTGTGTAACGACACCAGTCCTTCACCCTTCACCCCCTTCCCCCTTCTTCAAGAGCTAGGCAACAGACGTGATTATAGGGTAGCTACTACAGGTATTCATGGGACTCCTTCCATCCCCTTAATGCCTACAGGTGGCACGCTAAAGAACGCATTTGCATCAGATCCAAAAACACAAAACAATGCCAAGGAACTGAGTGAGCCTCCTCCCTCACCTGATCCCTGTTCCTTACCTTCGGATTAACAGGTGGGAGGAGGGAGGTTCAAGGCAACACCTTTATAAGAATTAACCTTACCAAGTATCTGTGTCTCCCTTCAAGTAGTCCCTCGGTTAACCAGCCTTATATGGTTCCACTAACTCAGAATCACATAAAAGACAATCTGAAGCTGAAAGTGGTATAGAAAAATGAGATAATTAACTAGTAAAAGTTTAGCTAGACTTCCATTAGCTCTGTAATTATGTATGAGCTGACATTTTTGAATGAGTGAATTTCTAGTGCTTCTCAGGCAATCCTGATGTAAGAGTGTGGAGGATAGTGGAAGGCTGGATAAACACCAACATTCAACATCTTGGCTACTACCTCCACCGTACACAGTCTACAGTTCTGGAGCTGAGGTCGGCGGTGCAGTCATTTGTCCTCTCTTTCTCCCTCCTAATTAATATACCGACAGAGGTGATTTTGTCCTCGTCCCAGAAGGCTGTTCACTTCCTACTTGGCGCTTACTTTCACCTTGTGCCCACCAACGAGAGGCTCCAAAATTTTTAAGCCAGAAAAATCACAATCGAGAGGCACGCGGTGGTACGCACATCAAGTCCATTTCATCCATAAAAGTTCGGCTCAGACACAAATCGCCAGTAGGCTAGACAACACGCTGCAAAATGCTTTCATGGGGCAATAAATTTCCCCCCCCCCTTTCTAGCAATCAAGAACAAAGTCGTAAAATTTACTAATATCTACGCCTACAAGTCGTTTAGTGGCCCAGCGACAAGGTTGTTGAACAGTGCAAATGCTTAGAAGACGACGGTGACGACTCCACGTTTGTCATTTACCAAACTAATTGAAGTGCTATGGCATTGGAGCCACTGCGATGCAAATGTATTAGGTATTGACTCATTTGTAAAGGCAAAATCGGCAAACATGAGAGATCATCAAGAGATTTGGACTTTTGACGTATGCCAAGACACCAAGACAGGTGCAGATCGCATCCCTTAATTCGGCCTTAACGGAAGTCAAAATATATGCAATAAACACCAAAAGTTAAAAAAGTGCTAATGTTTTTTTACCTTTCTCATGGGAAAAATTTTCTCCCTAAGTCTTTCAAGCCGTAGGCTAGGCGTTTTACTTTTGCCTTGCAAAATAATTGGCAAGGTCATCCAACCATTCAATCAAATGCACACGACTTTCAGAAGGCAAAAAGCGACAACTTTGGCCTTAATCTGCTTTATAACGAGTGAGAGAGTAAGGTGGGTGTTTACCACGAGATGGAGTGAAGGATTAGGTAAAAATTCGAACGTTAACCAGTAAACTCACTTGCAGCCAATCGGATGGCTCGGGGGTTTACCTTCAAGTCTGCTTGACCTTGACAGCACCAATTGCAATTGCCAGCTTAACAGCGGTAGATTTATACGGAAGGAAGAATCTGAGGTAGTTTTTCCCCTTTCCCCACCAACTTTTGTTATTTCCCATAGTTTAATCACGCTGCAATGGAGGCATTAAAGCAAAAATTAATAAAATATGTACAAGAAAAATGAGGTTAATTATTTGGGCAACATTTGCTAAGAAAAACCGAAAGATAAGCTAAATTACCTAAAACTGATAGGGTTACCAAATTAAAATCAAAAGGACATAAGCTGGTAAAAATGTGCATCCCTCGTAAGCACAGAGGAAAGAAGCTAATTGCATGAGGGTGATCCGGTGATAAAGCGGAACCTTTCCTGCCTAGCTAACTTTAGTAATTCTCATCAAAGCCTCAGTTAAATTACTGGGCGAATCGCACTCCAAAAGGTTTTTTGCAGTCTGAGATGTTTAAATAGATCCAGACGGATATATGTGTGGATAATTGGAAGGTTGCAGGATGGTTAGGATGGCACGGGATAAATGGATGCTTGGATGAATGTACATATATTTGCTTAAATTTATCTTTCCAGTCTAGGTGTTGCTGAAGCCGTCTACGATGCCAAACAAAGTCCTCTTATGATTGTTAGAAACGTTTCTTTTTTTCTCGTGGGTTATCTTCAACTATTCCATTTCGCCTAAAATCACGCACTCGCATCCATCTCCCATGGTTGGCTAGCATCACCTAAAGGTCGACTTTAAATGCACTTCTTTTTTGCTCAAGACCTCCGTGTAAGGAGCATTCCAGCATCCGAACTTTAGCAAATAAGTAGTGGAATGTGTTTCGCAACCGTCCAACTTATGTTTGCCGACCTTTGTGCAAAGAAGTCATGTTCGTGCCACCTCTACAGGCCCAACTGTCCATCATTGACATGATGGCTGACTCAAATAGAGGAGGAATGCAGTCATTTCCCTTCCCCTCCCGATAGGCTGAAACATATCAACCGAATCCTTACGAATTCCTACAGCTTTTAACCAATCACTAAAGGGGGAGCCGCACCAAAATCTGCACGAAATCTTTTTGATCATCCTGCGGTTCTTTATCTTAACTGATCTTTGAACCACAGGAGATCATTAAAAGTAAATGCTTAGGAATATTCAAGTAAGCTGAAAAATAAAACAACATATTTTCTCCTCTCGAATCCGTCTACCTGCGCTGCGGGCACCACTTTAGTGCCTCTCTGGAAGGCGGCTAGTGGCAAAGCGAGTGTGTACTCTGCACATTCGTCCAAGTTCAAAAAATATCTTTTGTCCTTTTGTTTAAGTAAACTGTAAAAAGAGGCTCGTAATTCATTATTCTGTCTTTTCTTTTCCTATCCATGCTGTGGTATTCACCCAGGCTGTAATCAAAAAGCAGTTGACCTTGACAGGTATGATTAATCCATTTTTGTGTGTAAGGCAGGGTGAAGGGGTGAGAGAAGAAGGTGCAGGGGATGAGATTTATCGTGCAGAAACGAACAGGACTTTCGTATGCACACCGGATCGCGGATACACTGCGGCGTTCACTTGTCACGTCATGCTTCCAAGGTGGTAAGCTTTGTGTGACCTTCTTCTCTCCGCATCCCTCCGTCTGATAAAAACGAGTTCTTACATAGAGACTTGGGTTGAGGTGGAGAAAGTAAAAAAGGTCACACCACGGCTGACAAGATCTCCAGAAGGATAGAAGTGTCTTATAAATCATTGAGAGGTTGTAATCTTGTGCGATCTTCTTCCAACTGCGGTAGAGGGCAGAGACCAACTTTAAGAGTCATCGCATCTGGAAACAAACCACCTTGTCTATCAAATAGGCTAAAAATTTTTCTTCTTCCTGCTTTCCTGTGTAAAGTCGACATAGAGTTGTGCGAAAAGTACACGGGAAGAAAGAGAGGAAAGAAAACTTCTGCTGGGCATAAATTATTTCCCCTCTCACGGCAACTATAATTAGAAGGTGGTGGTGGGGCGGATGGCAATAAAAATTAATATTGTCAATTTTTCCCATTTTGTGCAAGAAAAATAAAGATATTGCTTTATTTTTTTAAGCCCAATTGGTGTAAATAACCCTGTTACTTCTTCGAACAGATGCGAAAGAAAAGGGAATTGTAGCATTTCGGAGTTTATACTCTACTGGTCGTACCGTTGTTTAGCAAAATTTAGAAAAATACGCTATTGCTACTCCCTCATTTTGGTTCAAATAATAAAAAAATGATTAATTTTATTATTTTTTTCTTTACTACTGTCCAAGGTTTTGGCAGGTGGCACTGGGGAGGCTCCAGCCATATCACCTAAAGTGTGGAGGCTAGACTGCCAAAAAGAAGAGCACACAATGTCAAGACATAGGGTCCTCAGGGTTTGTTGACCTAAATAATCAAATGTCAAGTCAAGAATTGGAAATTGGACATACATTAAATATACTACTGAAATGCTTTTTCAGTAGGGAAACAAGAAAAGGCGCTGAGTAATCCTGAATAGAAAATCACTGATCTGAATGTTGTGCGGAACAGTAAGAAAAAATTTATGATAGCCTTTTCCGGACACGTTAGATGCACATTTATTAGTTGTTTTGCATCGTAAAGCGCAAGTGAGTCAGCTCAAATACGCGCATGTGATTACATCCCTTATTAATGATAACGCTTAATCTGCAGGTAGAAGTAAATTTAAAAAAAAGCATTTTGGTGTTTATGAGCTTCTTACAAACCTAAAAATTACTGAAGTGCCATGATGAGCATAATAGGTACCAACGTCACATATAGGTGACACCAAAATTTTAAGGTACGAAACTGGTGTCAAAGTACGTCGAACATGACTTTTATCAGTTTTTGGTAATTGTTAACAAAAATTTAATGTACTTAAGGGGTTTTTTAACCTAAATTAGATAAAGCAGATGCATAAAATGCATCCAATGTAAGGAGGAGCAGCTCAACCAGTCAGCCAAATGGCGTAAAAGGTGGTGTCGTAATGGAAAGGTTTTCTTCTAAAAAAAATTTAGTAGGCAAGGAGACAAACAAATAAAAAAGTGGGATGAATACAGAAGGATGCGGGATAGATATGGCATCAGGAGATGGCTTGGAACATTTTTTTCCTGCAAGTCCTGCTCCGCCTTCTGCAATTGTGTAGACAGCCAACCGGCATGAGTATGCTTTTCTTGGCATTGGAGCTGTCAGCAATCAAGACAAAGGGCGACTTAGCAAGTAAATTAACATTTTAATTTGCCCCACTACTCAGTTAGAGAGCAGTCTGCACCCGACAGCACATGGGTCAGCTGTAGTAGAAAAAGCAGCTCCACACCCTTGCTGAACGCACGTCAGCTCTACATATACACGCACCCACACGCGCCCACCTTCTGTCCAAACTACCTGTTAAGTGACAGATGTTTCAAGAGCCCACCCTTTCCCTCCTCCTCTAACACAGGGAATTTGTAGACAGCCGACCGGCTTTACTTGGCATTGGAGCTGTCAATAATCAAGTCATAAGGAGACCTGGTAAATAGATTCATTCTTTAATTTGTCCCACTACACGTTTACAAAGTGTTCTGTATTTGACAAGGCAAGGATCGGCTCTAAGTATTAAGCTGTTTCATCCCCCCTACCGGACTCACGTCCAAGATTCCTACACACGCACATCC